ATACCACAAGTGTTTGGTTTCTCTTACCTGAGCTGCCTCTGGTTATTTTTGACAGTCAGCACTTTCCACTTTCTACCGCCTCCGTCAGAGGTATCAGCCAGTGCCCTAGTTGTCACTGCTTATGCCTCCAGTGTCGTTGGTGCCATGCTGCTGCTCGTGTGGCTGGTGTCACTGCCTGGTGCACCAGGATGGTGGACAATTCTGCCATGTTTAGGACCTCCTGAGTTGCAGGCACTCCCACTGCAGAATGGGGGATAGCTCAGGTGGCACAAGAACCTCTGCTGTGTTCAGTATTGTCAGGTTTGTGGACTCTGCCACTGTAAGCAGGAGGCGAGGAGAGAGAGTCATGGGCATCTCTACAGCTAGAGAGACAGGGTCCCAGACCCTACTGCCACTACTGCCCAGTTATCTGTGGCTGTGGGCACCACTGCAGCCAGGAGGCCAGAGCTGTATTCACCACCTCCCCTGTCGCTACTGAGTTTTCTGGGACTGCAGGTTCAATTGCCATGGCTGGGGGACCAGAACTGTAGGTACCACCTCCACTGTTCCCCAAGTTCCACCTCCTCCGTGTGTTCTAGTCCACCCACTTTTAGGTGTATGGATATGTGGAATTCTCCAGTGTCCTGGTGTGTTGGGCAGAGGCACTTTTGTTGAGTCGTGGATGTTTTACTGATAGTAGATAGGAGAGAGACAAAGAGAGCGTCTCCCTTTGCCATAATGCTGATATCACTCTCCGTTCACTTTTAATGGAGTTAATGATACAGATGGTCCCCAACTTATGATGGTTCAACTTATGATTTTTCAACTTTACAATGATGCGAAAGCAGTACACATTCGGTAGAAACCATACTTTAAATTCCGAATTTTGATCTTTTCCTGGGCTAGTGATATGCAGTACTATACTCTCTTGTGATGTGGGGCAGTGACAGTGAGCCACAGCTCCCAGTCAGTCATGCGATCACAAGGGTAAACAACTGATACACTTACAATCATTCTGTACCCAGACAACCATTCTGTTTTTCACTTTCGATATAGTATTCAATAAATTACATGAGATATGCAACACTTTATCATAACATTGGCTTTGTGTTTGGTGATTTTGCCAAACTGTAGGCTATTTTTGTAAGTGTTCTGAGCACGTTTAAGGTAGGCGAGGCTAAGCTATGATGTTTGATAGGTTAAGTGAATTAAATTCATTCTCAAGTTACGATATTTTCAACTTACAGTGGGTTTATTGGGATTTAACCCCATCATAAGTTGAGGAAGATATGTATTTGGGGCTTATATCAATTTTTATACTATTTGCTTAATCAAATAGTTTTAATTATTCAATTTCCCCTCTTTTAATTTGATAGGTATATATTTTTCAGTGGTCATGCTATAAATTACAACCTGAACACTTGACTTATTGCAGTTAAATACAAATTATTTTACCATTTCCTGATAATGCTAGATCCTTAGAACACTTCAATTCCATTTGTCTCCATTTTCATTATTTTTGCCTTGTATTTTAATTCTACATATATTTTAAATTCTGTAGGACATTATTAGTATTGTTTTTCTTATACAGTTAGCTTTCAGTTATATTCAACCACATTGTTTTTGGTTCTCTTCATTCCTACTTGTATTTTCATACTTCTCTCTGGGATCGTTTTCCTTCTGACTGAAGAATTCCTCTCAGCATTTATTTCAGTACAGCTTGCTGATGATATATTCTCTCTTTCTGTTTGTTTAAAAGCATCTTTATTTCACCTTTACTTCTAAAAGGATATTTTCACTAGGTTGCACACTTTTTTAAATGTCTTACTGTACTGTTTTATCGCTTTCATTGTTTCTATTAAGAATCAGGTTAATGTCTTCTAATTGCTCCTTCAAGGATATTGCATCCTTTTTCTCTGAGTGCTTTTAAGATTTTCTCTTTGATTTTCAACTGTTTAAATATGATGTGCCAAGGAGTGGTTTTCTTTGTTTTATACTATTGAGCTTCTTGAATCTGTGTATTGATATCTTTCATCAGTTTTGGAAAACCATCTGCCATTATCTCTTCAAATATATTTTCTTCTTCATTATTTCCTCTCTTTCCATGATTCCTATTTCACATATGTTAGCACTTCTAACTGTGACCAACAAGTTTCTTACACTGCATTCTTTTTCATTCATATACATATTTCATTTTTGTCTTTGATTCCATCTTTCAGTTTGGACCTGTCACTCCGTTTACTTTTTCACTCTGTCCAATCTGCTATTAAACCTATCAGTTAGGTTCATTGAGCTCTTGTTGGGTTTCCAACCCAATTAGCTATACTGTGATTCATTTCTAATACTAACTACCCAGACTTAACATTAGACTCTTAAGGGCTTAGTCCTCCACGAGACTGACCTTACTTCAGATGCTAGCCACAGTTCAGCTGGTCCCCAGGCCACCCTCTCTTCCAACCAAGTGGCTACAAATTCAGGAGTTCCCATGTCCCCCTCAGAGTCAATACCTTACTAGAATGATGCAAAGAACTCAGAAAAACACTATACTTACAATCACAATTTTATTGTAAAGAATACAGATCAGGAATAGCCAAATGGAGACACATAGAGAAAGGTCTGAGAGGGAACATGGAGCTTCTATGCCCTCTCCTTGTGGAATCTGGGCATGTTACTCTGTTGGCACATCATTGTATTTTAAATCCTGGCTTGCTGACTCCAATATCTGTATTACCTGTTGGTCGGCTTCCATTTGTACAATTTATGATAGTAATAAATATGACCATTTAAGAGGTTGTATCAAAGAACATTTTAATCCAAAGGGTAGATAGTGAACCGTGGTGCTCTATGTTAGATAGTAAAATGTAGTCAAAATACATCAACTCATTCAAAAGTTAGCACTGAGAAATAAAATATAACAATGGGACATTAAAACTTACTCTTTGCATTCTGTTGGTAATATTTACTCCATAAAGATAGAAAATGAACCATACCAGGTTTATCTGAATCCTTAAAAATCGTTATCAGTGTCTCCTTCTAAGAAAAGCAGAAGGTATTATAAGAAAGACTACAATAATATTAACTATAATACTGTTATATAGATGAGGGCATGGCATACTATACAATCTATATGACTTTTATCTAAGGTCAATAAGTTGGTGAAAAGGGAAAAGTTAGAGTACAGCTTATTGCCTCTGACAGTTTTCATAATATTCGGCTACTATCCATCATATGTAATGTTATTGTCTCTTCTTTTAGCCATCTTTTCCCTTTCTTTCCTCAGGTATCCTTTTATTTCTTATATTTTCATTTTTCATCTCTTTTTTTTTTCAGTTTCCTCAGTTGATACCCGTAGACATTGTATACCTCCACTTTTGTTATGAAGCCCCTAACCTTTAAGACACTTAAGGCATACAAATGAATGATTGTATATTCCAGTAAAAATTCCCTAGGCCACTTTAAAAAAAATTCTATACAATATACTGATGCTGTTAGAGTTTGGAAAACTATTTCTTCTATTTATTTCAGATAAAAAAAAATCACTTTATAACACCATGTATTTAAAAGTATGGGGCTTCCCTGGTGGCGCAGTGGTTGGGAGTCCGCCTGCCGATGCAGGGGATACGGGTTCGTGCCCCGGTCTGGGAGGATCCCGCATGCCGTGGAGCGGCTGGGCCCGTGAGCCATGGCCGCTGAGCCTGCTCGTCCGGAGCCTGTGCTCCGCAATGGGAGAGGCCACAACAGTGAGAGGCCCACATGCCGCAAAAAAAAAAAAAAAAGTATATACATACTGTTTAATGATCTCAAAATACATGTAATTTTAACTATTTTTTATTTATTTAAATATCTCTCAGAGTTGATGTTTTCAGTTTACTAATTTCTAGAAATACCATTTTTCATTACTCAGAAAAAAAGTTAAAATTACAACTATAAAATGTGTTTTTATTTGCTAGAGTTTTATATTGAAATGGATGCAGTCTTCATTCATGAAAGCTAGTTCTTTGTGTTCATTAATAACTCATTAGTAAAATAAAGAATACTATTATAAGAGACAAATCTATTGATAAAATAAGTTGAGCAATATTATGTGGCATTCTACAACATGACACTTCTGTTTTGCTTTATGCTTTTAGTTTTGGGAATACAACAAAAGAAAATGCTCATCATAGAAATATACTGAAAGTTTGTAAGAAGGAAGTCTTTATTATAAGTGCAAGATTCTCTCCTCAGCTTCAAAATAAGATGCTTCCCTTTTCACTTTTTTTTTCAGTTCAATAAACAGTTATTGAGTGGATATTCTGTGGAGATACAAAAAAATAAAGTCTGTATTTTTGTAGAGTTTATGGTAGAACCTGGTAGAAGAGACAGATTGAAAAACCAGTAATTTTAATACAGTGTGATGAATGCTATGATAAAGTTTATTCATGGTGCTATGACAGCATATACAAGGATCAGTGAGCCTTGACTAGAGATCAAAGTTGGCTTCTTATAGGAAATAATGCCTGAGCTAAATGTTGAAAGAGGAAGAAGAGTTAACTAGGAAGAGGAAAAGGAGCATAGGGTTTTTCCTGGCTGAAAGAAAAGCACAAAGGTTTGAACCAGTATGAGGCTTATAGAAAACTCTGAAATGAAGTTGGAGAGTTAGGCCAAATAGTTTTCCAGAATATTTGAACAAAGCAAAGATGAAAATAGGCCATTGGACAAATTTTTAAATTCCTATCAAAGGGAATGAAATATATATCCATCTTTAGTTGACATTTAATAAAGTTGAATACTTTCTTTTGTGTAACACTTCTAAAGAGAACATTTAAATCTGTTGCAGTATTTGAATTATGTTAGTATGGATATTTGTTCATAATTTGAATGTGTTTTCCTTAAATTCCTAATGCATTACGTTAAGAAACTAAACCTATAAATTTTCTAAATGTATTGAATTAGAATAAACTCTGAATGGAACCAGTTGGTTTTTCCCATTCAAGTCTCTTTTTATAACTATTTGTTATCTTTTTAAAAATCTTTTGTAGAATTCCTGTGCCTCAGCCAGAAACTTCTGCACAAAGAAAAGGAAATAAACCAGGCATCCAACGTATGTTGCTTTGACGATGATGATGATGATGATTTATAAAGTCTTTATGGGACACTGTTATATACAGATTGCTGTTTGATTTGATTCTGCATTTTGGGGTCATGCCTGCCACTAGCATAATATAAGTACTTGTATTAAACTATATGTAGCTAGTTATTTTTGTTTCTATTTTTATTTAGCTTAAGTCCTTGTCAAAAGTACTGGTCCCAAATTTAGAACAATTTGGTATCATCACCAAAGTGCAAGTGAATATAAATAAACTTGTTTATATTAAGCACTTATTAAGTTGTTTCTTCGGTAGTACATCTCTTCAAATGTACTATTTTGAATTAACAGAAGAATACTAACGTAGGAAGTTTAATTTTTATTTGACAATAAATATAGGTAAAGCTTAAAAGATAGTTGTAGTTCCTTTCTTTGCTGTTAGGTTGACTGGTTTGAATATTTGGGTTCATTTCTGAAGTGATTTCATGACACAATTTAGTTCTGGTAGGGTATCTTTAGAGTGGTTTTGTTTAAATCAGATGTTATAAGGGGTCATCTCTCTAGACTTTTTAGCACTTTAGATCCTTCTTGCCTTTTGAGTTACTCGTATTTGGGGATTGACTTCTAGTCAGTCTGACAGATTAAGAACCCACAAAGGTCCCGGGTTTTGGCACACACAAAAAAAGAAAGAACCCACAAAGGGATCTGGACTATACCCCCCAAAAAAATAAAAGATAGAAAATAAGGGGAAGATCATTATAATATAAATATATAACCAAGCTGAAAGCAAGAGTGAAAAATCCATAAGTGGCAGAAACAAAAGAATTTAAATTTAGTGGTGAGTAGGAACTAAAACTAAAACTGCTCTTGGGCATTTCAGAACTAGATAGAGGCCTAAATGATCATAGGCTGAGGTGTAATAACGACATGGAAAAGAGAGTCCAGACCACAGGCCTCGTACATGTGAAGTAGAACTAATATAAAGTTGGAAGGTTATTAAGGTCCAGATAAATTATTCCCATCAGCATGGGGAAGTATCAAGGAGCTTCCTGTATTCCCTGGGCAATGGGTAGGAAAAATTGAATTGACTTAGTACCTGCTGAATTGAATTAGAACCCTTATTAAACATCAAATTCTATTCCATTGGTCTATATGTATGTCCCTATGTCAGTATCACAATGTTTTGATTACTGTAGCTTTGTACCAAGTTTTGAAATTGGGGTGTATGAGTCCTCCAACGTTGTTCTTCTTGTTCAAGATTGCTTTAGCATTCGGGACTCCTTGTAATTCCATATGAATTTAAGGATCCATTTTACCATTTTTGCAAAATAGGCTTTTGAGATTTTGATAGGGATTGCATTGACTCTGCAGATTGTTTTGGATAGTATTGACATCTTAATAATATTAACTCTTCTAGTCCATGAACATGGGATTTCTTTCTGTTCATTTTTAGACATTCTTTAATTTATTTTAACAATGTTTTGTACTGTTCAGTACACAGGTCATTCACCTCCTTGCTTAAAGTTATTCCTAGGTATTTTATTCTTTTAGTTGCTATTATATTTAGAATAGGTTTCTTAATTTCCTTTTGAATCTCTTGTTATTGGTCTGTGGAGATTTTTTTTTCTTTTTAAGTGAGTTTAGGTAATTTCTTTGCTTTTAGGAATTTGTTTCATGTAGGTTTTCTAATTTGTTGGTATATGATTGTTCATAGTATTATAATCATTTTTACTTCTGTAATAAATCACATTTTCATTTATGCATTTAGTTTTTGTGTCTTCTCTCCTTGGGGAGAAGGTCAGTTGAGGTAAAGATTATCAATTTTGTTGGTCTTTACATAGGACAAGCTTTTGGTTTCTTAGATTCTATTATTTTTTCTATTCTCTATTTCATTTATATTTACTCTAAGCATAATTACTTCTTTTTCTTAACTTTGGGTTTAGTTTTCTCTTTTTCTAGTTCCTCAAAGCTTAATATTACATAATTGAATGAGATCTTTTTTTTTTAAACATCTTTATTGGAGTATAATTGCTTTACAATGGTGTGTTAGCTTCTGCTTTATAACAAAGTGAATCAGTTATACATATACATATGTCCCCATATCTCTTCCCTCTTGCATCTCCCTCCCTCCCACCCTCCCTATCCCACCCCTCTAGGTGGTCACAAAGCACCGAGCTGATCTCCCTGTGCTCCGCGGCTGCTTCCCACTAGCTATCTATTTTACGTTTGGTAGTGTATATATGTCCATGCCACTCTCTCACTTTGTCCCAGCTTACCCTTCCCCTTCCCCATATCCTCAAGTCCATTCTCTAGTAGGTCTGTGTCTTTTTCCCATCTTGCCCCTAGGTTCTTCATGACCATTTATTTTAGATTCCATATATATGTGTTAGCATACGGTATTTATTTTTCTCTTTCTGACTTACTTCACTCTGTATGACAGTCTCTAGGTCCCGCCACCTCACTACAAATAACTCAATTTCATTTCTTTTTGTGGCTGAGTAATATTACATTGTATATATGGGCCACATCTTCTTTATCCATTCATCTGTCGATGGACACTTAGGTTGCTTCCATGTCCTGGCTATTGTAAATAGAGCTGCAATTAACATTATGGTACCTGACTCTTTTTGAATTCTGGTTTTCTCAGGGTATATGCCCAGTAGTGGGATTGCTGGGTCGTATGGTAGTTCTACTTTTAGTTTTTTAAGGAACCTCCATACTGTTCTCCATAGTTCTTTTTTTTAATATCAGTATTTCTGCTGTAAATTTCCCTCAGATCACCACTTTCATTGCATCTTATAAGTTTTTATGTTGTATTTTCATTTTTGCTCATCTCAAGGTATTTTGTAATTTTCCTTATGACTTCTTATTTGACCCATTAGTTGCTTAAGAGTGTGTTGTTTAATTTCCATATATTTGTGAATTCTCTAGTTTTCCTTCTATTATTAATTTCTAGCTTCATTCTATTTTGGTCAGAAAAGATACTTTGTATTATGTGATTCTTTTTAAATTTATTGAGGCTTATTTTGTGGCCTAACATATGGTTCAGCCTGGAGATATTTTGTGTATTTTTGAAAAGAATGTATTCAACTGTTGTTGTATAAATATATATATAAAGAAGTTTAGCTTCTAACCCTGTTCCCTGCATCCTCTTCCTTCTCCCCCATTATAGGTAACTTTTTAATTCATTCTATGGTATGTCTTTGCATTGTTTGTTTTACAATATAAGAAGGTATGTGTGTATATCAGAGAGAGAGAAAGAGTCACGCCCCCACCTTTCTTAGATAAACGTACAACTACCTTTGAGAGCAATTTGACAAGACCTAATTTATTGAAAATGTTACACTTTGTGACCTATATGTTGGGCACACTGGGAGACATGTTCTAAGATGAGTATTGGAGCATTGTTTAAAATAGGAAAACTCATTATTTCTTTCTTTTTTTTTTTTTTTTTTTTTTTGCGGTACGCGGGCCTCTCACTGCTGTGGCCTCTCCCGTTGCGGAGCACAGGCTCCGGACGCGCAGGCTCAGCGGCCACGGCTCACGGGCCCAGCCACTCCGCGGCATGTGGGATCTTCCCAGACCAGGGCACGAACCCGTGTCCCCTGCATCAGCAGGCGGACTCTCAACCACTGCGCCACCAGGGAAGCCCTATTTTTTTCTTTTTTTAATTGAGGTATAATTAGCGTGTAACATTATATTAATTTCACGTGTGCAACATAATGATTTGATATTTGTATATATAGCAAAACGATTCCCACAGTAAGTCTAGTTAACATTCGTCACCATACACAGTTACAAAAAATTTTTTTCTTGTGATGAAAACTTTTAAGATCTATTCTCTTAGTAAGTTTCAAATATGCAATATGATATTAACTATAGTCACCGTGCTGTACATTACATCTCCATGACTTACTTATTTTATAACTGGAAATTTGTACCTTTTGACCCACTTCACCCACCCGCTCCCAGACCCCTACCTCTGGCAACCACCAATCTGTTCTCTGTATCTATGAGCTTGTTTTTTTCTTGGGGGGAGGTCTGTCATTTTATTTTTTTATTCCACATGTGAGATCATACAATATTTGTCTTTCTCTGTGTGACTTATTTAACTTAGCATAATGTCCTCAAGTTTCATCCATGTCAAGATTTCATTGTTTTCATCGCTGAATAATATTCCATTGTATATACACCACCTGTTCTTTATCCATTCTTTCATTGATGGGCCTTTAGATTGTTTTCTTTTTTTTTTTTTTGCGGTGCGCGGGCCTTTCACTGTTGTGGCCTCTCCCACTGCGGAGCCCCGGACGCGCAGGCCCAGCGGCCATGGCCCACGGGCCCAGCTGCTCCGCGGCATGTGGGATCTTCCCAGACCGGGGCGCGAACCCATGTCCCCTGCATCGGCAGGCGGACTCTCAACCACTGCGCCACCAGGGAAGCCCCTAGATTGTTTTCAAGTCTTGGCTATTGTAAATAATACTACAGTGGACAGGGGGGTGTATATATCTTTTTTTTAATGTTATTTTTTAACCATTATGTTTATTGTATTTTTTTTACAGCAGGTTCTTATTAGTTATCCATTTTATACATATTAGTGTATATATGTCAATCCCAATCTCCCAATTCATCACACCACCACCCCGCCCCGAAGTGGGGTGTATATATCTTTTTGAGTTAGTGTTTTTTATTTCTTTGGATAAATACCCAGTAGTGGAATTGCTGGATCATATTGTTGTTCTATTTTTACTTTTTTGAGGAACATCCATACTGTTCTCCGTAGTGGCTGCACCAATTTACGTTCCCACCAACAGTGTATGAGGATTCGCTTTTTGCCACATCCTCACCAACACTTGTTATTTCTTGTCTTTTTGATAATAGCCATTTTAACAGGTGTGAGATGGTATCTCGTGGTTTTGGTTTGCGTTTCCCTAATAGTGATGTTGAACATCTCTTTTATGTACTTGTTGGCTGTCTGTATGTCTTTGGAAATATGTCTATTCAGATCCTCTGCCCCCTTTTTAATCACATTGTTTATTTGTTATCGAGTTGAACAAGTTCTTTATATATTTGGATATTAACCCCTTATCAGATATGTGATTTGCAATCATTTTCTCGCATGCTGTAGGTTGCCTTTTCATTTTGTTGATGGTTTCCTTTGCCATGCAGAAGTTTTTTAGTTTGATATAGTCCCATTTATTACACTGCAGTTTTAATGAATGAATGTTACCATGTGTTAACATGGTAACTGATGTATTTCCAGATATGTTTCATGATAGCTTTGGAAATTACTGTGTCTGTAAATTCAAAAGACACTCATTTTGTGAATATATAGCTAATTTGTTTATGTGGTTTGATTGTGCTAGTTATTTTGAAGACTACAAAGTTTAACATCTTATCGTTTGTATCTGGTAACTTAGATAAGTAAGACATACATTGAAAAGTTCACAATAACAGTACTACTGAGATCATAAGACATTATAGGTAGCCTCTGACTTACACAATTCTTTAAAAAGTCTATTATATACTTGCTACCAAGCATAGACCTGATCACTGATTGAAATACTCTGTTTTTTCTAGACTTGTAGATCTTGCCCCAGCATGGGGTCAGTGAAGGCAAGGGGGAAAGAGGCAAAGGAAATAGCTCCTCTCCCACCCCCATGCCTCCATACACCCCTACCTATCACTCTTATCCACATAATGAAATGCTTAGAGTAGATTTTGTGAAGAAGAAAAATCACTATGCCTATACACATACATTTATACCATGTCCTTTTTCACCTCACAACCTAAATGTGGTCTTCTCCTGAAATTTTGCCTCATTAAAACATAAATCCGTTCTCACCAGAAATAAGGGTAAAATGAATCATTAAAATAACGGTGATCACTATAATTCTGGTACATAATTAGATATATACAAAAATATAATTTTGCTAGGTAATTAACCTGTATCTTAGTTATGCATTAGGCTTAAACAGTAATGTTTTTCGTTTGGTAATTTTAGTAATATTCAAGCTAAAAATAAAAGAATTCTAGTGTATAATTTTCCATCTTATTTTTAGAAAAACCTGAGCTCTAGATGTATTTTGTCTCTTTCCTAATGATTGCCTTTGAAATCTTGCTATTCACAACCAGTGACTGCCAATATTTCTTGTACTGATTTCATACCCATTTGTATTAATTATGAACATATAATTGGGATAGTTAATTACAGTCCCAAGTTACTAAATTAAAAAACAATGCATGGGGCTTCCCTGGTGGCACAGTGGTTGAGAGTCCACCTGCTGATGCAGGGGACACGGGTTCTTGCCCCGGTCCGGGAAGATCCAACATGCTGCGGAGTGGCTGGGCCCGTGAGCCATGGCCGCTGAGCCTGCGCGTTCGGAGCCTGTGCTCCGCAGCGGGAGAGGCCACAACAGTGAGAGTCCCGTGTACCAGAAAAAAAAAAACAAAAAACAGTGCATTATTTTTTCAGAAGAACTTTTCATGTAAACTTTAAACCTTGCCAGTTCTTAACACTCAAATAAGAAAACAACCATAGAAAATATTCTGACTTATTCCTGACAGTGTCAATCAAAGGATTTTTTTTCCTTTGCAATGGATGTAATTACTTAATTTTTAAAGATTGGAATGGCCCATAATTTGTTCTTTGTGTGCATTATTTTAGAACAAATCAGTCAGGAATTCTCACTATAACTTGGGTTGTAATAGCTACTTATTGCTAATCTAATTATGTACTTTTATTAGTTTGGGTAAGGGAAATTCATTTCTAGAAGATAAAAAGGATAAATCATTGCCCAATCCTTACTTTACTCCTATTAACTTTGAGTTTTTCTCTTGGCTTTTATTGTTTCCTTTCCTTTTCACGTGTGATTAAATTTTTTATCCTTTTCGTTTGTTATCAAGCGTTATTATAGGAAGTTAAGTGTGTTCATCAACTAAATTTTAAGTTTAAAAAAATACTCTTGTAATATCACAGTGTTTTGAATACCTGGTAAGAAGTTCACCACTTCATCTTCTCTAAAAATTCAATGTAGTATTTTACCTCATCATAAATTTTCAGTCTCTGTCTAGGTTTAAGAAACCAAGAAAGTAGTCTGGGGATATGGAATAAAGGTCAAAAACAGAAGTGATATGTTAACCACACTGAAACCTTGCTGTTGAAACACCCTTCTGTCTCAGCATGGTTTTTTATGCTAGGAAAATAATAAATGCCAAGGCATAGGCAGCCTACAATGAAGCAATTCAGCAACCTTGCTAAACTCTGGAACAGTTGCTGTCAGCTTGCCTTAGCTAGCAGAACTGACAGTGTGAGAAGTTCCAACATCTATTTTTTTTCTGATTCTTCTCTGTGTCTTCAGTTCCCAGGGTGTATTATTTAATTAAAATATTATTTTAGCAAATTCTTTAGTGTAGTATTTGGTATATAATAGGTGCTCAATAATTATTTGCTGAGTGAATTGAATGAATGGACAAATGTCATAATGTGTAAGAGGGAAATTATATTCTACCTTAGAAACTAAATATGTTAGATAAATTGTACATAAATGATAAACTGACTTGATGATAGAGAACAATTAAGAGTTGAAGTGGTCTTTCATTTCAATTTAGTTCCCTCTTTGTTTTCCATATGTTATTTATATCTGAAAGGAATATCATATCAATGGTCCTTTTGAAAGAGAGTTATATCCAAAAAATAGACTGCATTCTGTGTGTGTTCAGGATACTTTTAGCAAAGATTAACAAAATTTTATTTTAAGCTTAAATTCCACCAATAGTGAGTGGAGGTCCAATCTCTAAAGGTTATTATTCTCATGAATTTTACTTAACTTGGATTTGTCACTGAATTTAAAAGGAATGTTTGTTTATTTATGAGCATTTAGAAAATATAGAAAAAGTATAAAGAAGATAATTACAAATCTCATTAGTTCCAGCAACAGAAAAAACAATATTACTTTTTAATATTTTGGAGTAAAAGTTTGTTTTGAAGGTGAATTCTAGTTGTTTCCTCACTTTAATAAGAGTTACCTTTTGGACATTCAGTTTACATTTTGTAGGTGGTTGATTTTTAAAGTTAATTTAGCTATTTCTCATTAATCTGTGCTTTTTTTGTAGTGATTTACCTGATTTGGTTAGTTTATAGGTCTCAATTGTGTTCATCTCGCTTCTTTAACAGGTCGAGAAAGCACAAGAACTGGTCGCATAGGGAAAGCCAGAAAAACTATAAGTGATAAATGGGAAAGTCAGATGTGGAGAGAAAAGAAGTTCGGCTTAATAGATCACCTACGATACAGCTGTATTTATCCTGAAAGTATTCCACGGAGATTTGTTTTAGAACACAGAAATTTTCTTACTCAGCAGTATAATTCTCAGCCTGCAAAATACATACCACAAGAAGGAAAGCCCCCAGATCTTTATGATTTTAAGAGTGCTCTAGTCCTTGGACATTTTGAAGTAACCATCTTAGGTAAGTCACCTGTTCTTCTCTTTGAATACTGTTAATTTGACATAATTTAAATATAGATGATACTATTTTGCTTTAAAAAATTAAGTGCTCCACCTCCTCACCACCAAAAAAGTTAAGCCCAAGGAGAACTCCTGTTTGGCTCAAACCAAAGGAATGGAGCACTAATTCTGGAATACATTAAGCTTTAATTGTGGGCTTTTAAATATTGGCAAGTCCTTAGAAAGTACTGGGGAGAGAAGAATGGGAACCAAGGGAACTTTCCTTAGCCCTGACTCTCCTACTACCTCTAAAACTGATTCACTTATCCTTTAGCCACCACTTTCTTGCTCATATTCTCTGCCTCTTTCTCAGTGCATCTGAACCACTGAAGGATAAAATGTAGGTTAAAGAGAAAGGCATACTAATTGAGAGAAGATCCTATGAACAGACGTCTGTTTAGCCTGTGAAGAAAATAAAATTCTCAAGTAACAAGTTGAACAGAAGGAAGCTATTCAAAAAACTATCTTGTCTGACAAGGGACAATAAACTGATTTTCTCAGGTTGCTCTAAACTGACAGGTAGCTATAGAACTTATAAAAATTTAAAGTCAACACATTTTTAAACTTATGTTTATTTTTTAATTTTTTAAATTTTGGCTGTGTTGGGTCTTCGCTGCTGCGTGCGGGCTTTCTCTAGTTGCGGCGAGCGGGGGCTACTCTTCGTTGCAGTGAGCGGGCTTCTCATTGTGGTGGCTTCTCTCATTGTGGAGCATGGGCTCTAGGCACGTGGGCTTCAGTAGTTGTGGCCTGCGGGCTCAGTAGTTGTGGCTCACGGGCTCTAGAGCGCAGGCTCAGTAGTTGTGGTGCACGGGCTTAGTTGCTCCACGGCATGTGGGATCTTCCCGGACCAGGGATCGAACCCGTGTCCCCTGCATTGGCTGGCAGATTCTCAACCACTGTGCCACCAAGGAAGCCCAACTTACATTTATTTTTAAAGTTTGTTTCTCATGAATGAAAAATGTACACCAAAATTAATTATAAAATAAAACCTTAACCAAAATGAGCTACTCTCTAGGTTTTTTATTTGTACTTGAAGGGAAGATCTTGTTACCTTAAAATGAAAGTATGATGAAGTGCCATTAGTAAATTAATTAAATGCCTGAAAGAGGATGCATTTCATAGAGTTTTGCACCTACAGTACTGAAGTGAATTACCTTGCCCTTTATCAAGATTCCTGTTTCCCCTTTACTCTCTCCCACTCCTTCTTCCCTACCTCCTCACACATAAATATGTACATACATGTGATTGTGTATATGTATATAATCTATGAAAAGTATAAATTCCCATTGACTCTGTTAGACCTTCTCAGACCTAAGTTTCAAATGCTTCTTTTTCCTAGACTGCATTGCTTGTTATCTTTGGGTAACTTATCAATCTTAGTTTTATAGCTAGGAAACAAAAATTATAGTGGAGATTTTTCATATATCACAAAAAGTAACCATGAAAACCATGAGTTCATCTGGAATCACAGAAATTGAATACTTCTCTTCTTTTCAACATGTCACTGATCCTCTAAACATCTCAGCTGTCTTATAAGTATTGTGAACCTTTGTAGCTTTACTATGCATCACCTAAAAGCAAGAATCAGATAAAAAGAAGGCAAATTTGTCATTCTGCCCAACCAGCTGTAATCCATGTTAGAATTGGGCTGTTTTATATCCTACCATTTTTCAAGGACATAAGTGGATTTACAGGGATAAAAGACAGTGAAAAATATGCTATGTATGGATAAAACAAAACAGAGCATTTAAAAGGATACAGACAAAGTAGGTATTACTAGGTGCCTATAAATAACAAATTATTACCATTCGCTAGTAATTTTCTGTGAGCTTTCTGGCAGGAAGGGAGAAAAAGGATTGTTCCTAATGAGGTACTTAATTTTAAAGGTAAAAGAAGCCTGGGTATCTTCTAGTCGTAACCCCCTAGCTAGGTAAAAGCCTGGCCATGATTAAAAATCATGTCTTAATCCCCTACCCCTATACTGACCTTCCCCCTTCCCTCTCCCTGCTGATAACATCTAACTTGTTCTCTATATCTGTGAGTCTGCTTCTTTTTTGTTATACTCACTCATCTGTTTATTTCTTTAGATTCCACATGTAAGTGATATCATATAGTATTTGTCTTTCTCTATCTGACTTATTTCACTTAGCATAATGCCCTCCAAGTCCATCCATGTTGCTGCAAATGGCAAAATTTCATTCTTTTTTATGGCTGAGTAGTATCCCATTGTACACGTATACCACATCTTCTTTATCCATTCATCTGTTGATGGTCACTTATGTTGCTTCCACATCTTGGCAATTATAAATAATGCTGCTATGAACATTGGGGTGCATGTATCTTTTCAAATTAGTGTTTTTGTTTTTTTTGGTTATATACCCAGAAGTACAATTGCTGGGTCATCTGGTAGTTCTATTTTTACTTTTTTGAGAAACCACCATAATGTTTTCCACAGTGGCTGCACCAATTTACATTCCCACCATCAGTATGCAAGGGTTCCCTTTTCTCCACATTCTTGCCAACATTTGTTATTTGTGTTCTTTTTTTTTTTGCGATATCCGGGCCTCTCACTGTTGTGGCCTCTCCCATTGCGGAGCACAGGCTCCGGACATGCAGGCTCAGCGGCCATGGCTCATGGGACCAGCCACTCCATGGCATGTGGGATCCTCCTGGACCAGGGCACGAACCCGTGTCCCCTGCATCGGCAGGCGGACTCTCAACCACTGCGCCACCAGGGAAGCCCTATTTGTGTTCTTTTTGATGATAGCCATCCTGACAGGTGTGAAGTGATATCTCATTGCTCTGCTCTTTTAGTGTGAAAGCAGCCATAGACAATGTGTAAATGAATGTGCATGGCTATGTTTGAATAAAACTTTGTTTTTAGACCCTTAAATCTGAGTTGCATGTAATTTTCACATATCACAAAATATTCTTCTTTAGATTTTTTTTCAACCATTTAAAATGAAAAAAAAGTTTCCTAGCTCATGCGTTGTACAAAACCAGGTAGAGGCTATATTTGACCCTTCCCCCCACCAACTCATAGTTTGCTGACCCCTCTTCTAGATTCCTGTTTTTAGATGAAACTAATTAAACCAATCAAGGCAGATAAGTCTGTATGATTTTTAAAGTTCTTCCAACATGAAGTTTGTCCGGCCTACACTGATACTACCTTCTAGTGGTTTATTGTCCCTCTGCTGTATCTTGCTGATCTCTGGAGGACCCAGTAATTTTGAAGTGTCTTATTCTGGGAGCCAGAAAGGTTATTCAGACCATAACCCTGTTACTTGGTCATTAGCTCTGACTGGTCTAGGGTGAATCATTATTGAAAATATTGAACGGAATTTGTAATCTTACCTCCCACGATTCTAATGGCTCCCAACATCACCTGGGTACTGTGGCAGTATCAGAAACCCATCTCAGAAATACCAATTCTCGTGTTAAAATTCTTGCTATGCCATCTCACTTGACTCAAATAAGTAGATAGTATTAATAAGTGCTAAAATCTCAGCCCATTGCCTATTATGTAATAACACACTTCAAAGAGAAGATATTGGGATGGAGTAACAGACTAAATTTTCAGTGCCTTTAGCCCAGGTATAAAATTTTTAATCTATTGGTCAATTTTAAGAATTATTTCTTACTTTAAATATAAGAAAGTGTTTTTCAAAATCTTTATTGGACTCATAGATGGTGTTAATATATCATTGACTCTGCCAACACTAATTTAGTTACCCATGAAATGCTGAGTCAGTTAAAGCTTAAGAGTTCCCTCTTCGATTTGCATTTGACTTAGACAATAAGGAAAATATTCAGCCAGTCTTTAGTAAACCTCTGAAAGCCATCTGTTTATCTCTTGGAAATCAAGAGATACAAACCCCAGTAGCAATAGGTATAATTTAAGGAGAGCTGTCAAGACAGTATTTTCTAGACTTTTTGTCAAAAGATTTTTTGTCAAAAATTTTTTATATGGTTCTTTTCCTTTTCTGCAAAATGCATTTAAATGATAATTTAAAAATTTTAATAGAATTAATTGTAACATCAAAGTAATGTAATATGCTATAGTTACATGGAAATCATAAGACTTTACTTACCTTGATTTTTTTCTCCTATTAAAGCAACCAAGCAGGCCAACATAATTCCTGCCCTCCTTGGTACTGGCCTGCAAGCTCAGGACCAATTATTTGTACCCCTGAGGTATGCCTCCTTCTGTACTGAAGACTACTTGAACCATTAACTGAGTAGCACTGGGTTCCCTCACTCTTGGTTCCCTAACTGGCTATATCCTTAGGATATTCTATCCCACTGGCATGCTTCCCATTATTGTATCTTGAATGGCGCAGCACACTGGATTATATGGGTTCCAGAGGTGGTTACTGTTGCCACCCCTTAATTCTGTCCCTTATTCCATTGCATAATAAAAGTAATTTAATCCTTAAACCTTAAGTAGCTACTATCAGATTTCATCAGTGTAAGACACTTTTTTCCCCATATTTTAACATCTTTGAAAATTGATACGGATCTTATAATCAATGTCATGCCTTTGTTTAGTTGGTAGCATTTTTCTTTCTTAGTGGTATATAAAATAATGATCATCTTAAAAATCAATGGTATCTTAGATTCCATGAAACATGGTATATGCCAAGTACCCTTAGCTATGTGCTGGGATTACAAATTGCCCTCCTCTGCAACACACACACACAAACACACACACTTTTCACTGGAAAAGAAATTCAGTGACAACAAAGAATTTGAGAGGAAGATATATAAATTGCATACAATACACTTTACAAAAGAGGAATATGAACTTGTTTGATTTTATATCTGCCTCTAATTTTTAATATAGTCCATATATATTATCATGTTTACCTAGATAGTATGTTGTAAGTTATCTAAGTAACACATAAGCAGTAAATCACCACTGAAGTGCATTATACATGTACATTGTGGGGAGGATGTTTGTGTTCATCTCTTTTGCTATTGGGAATATGGATGAATTCATATTTGAACACAATGCACAAATGTCCTAAAGTCTAATATTCGAAAATTATAGGTTAAAAATACACACATATACATTCTTTTGCTCAATTTAACAAATATTTACTGAGCACCTAAGGTATGCCCAGCACTGTTCTGGGGGCTGAGGTTACATGCGTTAATGCAACAGATAACAGAGCCTATGGTAAAATGAGATGGTGATAAGGGCTAGAAGAAAAGGGTTGGAGAGTGCTGTTGTAGGAAAGGGCTAAATTTTAAATAGAGTTGTCAAGGGAGGTCTCCCTGAGAAAATAACATTTCACCAGACACCTGATGGAGGTGAAGGAGCAAGCCGTGTGTTTATCTGGGGAAAGAACATTTTATGTACAGGAACATCAAGTACAGAGGCCCTAGGCATGTTTACTTATACATTTGCACTCTGAACTCTAGTTTTAACCAAACAACTCATGATGAATTTTACCAATAATGTTGAAGCTAAACTCACAGCATTCTGTAATTTAGAAAGCAACTCATAATAGTATCAGTGACACACAGTTAATGAAGCTATCTTCCTGAAAATATCAGGATTTCCAACTTCTGATATTTTCTCAATTCTAAAGCATACTTTTTTTTTTACATTTGCAATTTGGAATGCATCTTATGGTCAATGGGTACATTAATGCAGTGTTTCCTTTTTCATTAAAAAACTGTTACTAAATTGATGGTATGTCTTAGAGTTAGATTTGCTATTAGAATCAAGGAAATGGGATGCCATCATGTGCACATTGACATGAGTTTTGCAGCATTGCTAAGAGTTCTGAGGTAGCTATACTTGTAATACTGAATTGGAATCCACAGTAAATTCTAGATGGCATGACTGTTTTAGTTTATGAATACCAGATTTTAGTAATCCTTAAAAAGCTTTAAGTAGCCCTTAGTTGTTTGTTAAGTTAAAGCTATGGAACTTAGTGTCATTTGCCCATAAAAAACAAAGAACGAGGGCTTCTCTGGTGGCGCAGTGGTTGAGAGTCTGCCTGCCAATGCGGGGGATGCGGGTTCGTGCCCCGGTCCGGGAGGATCCCACGTGCTGCGGAGCTGCTGGGCCTGTGCTCCGCAACGGGAGATGCCACAATAGTGACAGGCCCGCGTACCACAAAAAAACAAAAAAACAAAAACAAAAACAAAACAGACTTGCATTTCTGGATCAGTTTACAGCTTAACTGGAAGGACTTGTTTACTTATCATTTGCTCCTACTCCATACTTCAGCATTGCTATAGGGCTGAATAGGAGAGATATAGAATCTACGGGACTTGCTGACTAAAATATCAGGGAAGAATTAAAGGGACGAGTTAAGGATAACTTCTAGGTTTCTGGTTTGGGTGACTGGGTGAAATTCAGAGTTTTCAAGATGTGCTCTGTGCGTTTACCCTTGCTCCAGCCAAGATGGTCTCCTTAACTCTGGTCTTTACTTTTGGCTTCCCCCTGTCCTGCCTGAAATACCCTTCTCTCTGTCTATTTAAATGTTACTCATCCTTTAATACCCAGCTCAAACCCTTGACTCTAGGAAGTTTTTTTTATCCACCCTAGTTGATATTGACTCTCATAAAGAGATAACAGACACGGATCAGGACTCATGTTGGTTGTTTCCCCATACTGCAACCTTTTCTAGCCCTAATGGTGAGTGATTAAAGTTTTTCTTGTATATTTGAGGACAAATGGAACCTTGTTACTACCATCCCTGGCCTTGCTTGAGTCTTATATCCTTAAGTCCAAATGGCAGTAAGTGAACCAGTAGTTACCTCTGAATTCTGCTATCCTGTAATGGCACCTGTCATGAGTGGTGAAGAAAACACCCTACATGTCTTCATTTATGTGACTAGGCTATCCTCTGGATATTGAAATTTAAGCCTTCTGTCAATATTAAAAGATTTGAGATTGTTATTTCCAGCGGTGGAGATAGATTGCTCCAAAGTGTCTCTTTCAACCAATAGCATGTATTCATAAATGTTTGCACAGGAAAGGGTTTAGTTCCTAGTTTTGAAAGTTTTTTTTTTTTTTTTTACAGTTTTGAAGCTATTTGGCACATGTGCGGATCAAACCAGCAAATCTGGCCATGTTAGCACCATGTACTAACCCATTGCACTTTTAATAAAGTGTGATTTTTCTTTAACAGGTCTGAATCATGAGATAGCAATCAGTGTTGCATTCCTTCCCGAGTATTCTCCGGAAGATGTCCGAACATCTCAAATAGACACATTATTAACCTGCATGAATTACAGCTGTGTGTTTCCACAGGAATTAACTGGCAATGACAGATTTCAAGGTCCAAAAGCAGTTACAGGTAAGACAATCTCAGGATCTTTTCACTCAGAAAATAAAATTAATATTGCAAACAGTCCTAACCTTAAGATGTTATTATATAAATAGTTCTAGCCTTAACATTTGATATAGTTTAACGAGTTATTAGGTAAAAGTACCCAAAGACTTATAAATGAGAATATATTTTTAAATAAAATTGGATAGATTAATGGTTTTTATTCCAGGCAGGCATTAAGAATGTTCTCTTATAATACATTTTTAAATGTAAGTATTCATTAGACCTAAGTGGTATGCACATGGAGCAGTGCAAATTCTACCCTTCTCTCCTTTTAATTCGGGCCTTTCACCTTATAATTGCCTGAAATCTCAATACCTCCATAGTATAGTAGAGTACAATTGTTTTCTCTTATAAATGTTCAGTTATTCAAGTGCTATGCAATAAATTTCTTCAGGACTGCTAGGAGTGTATGTAATCCCAGTAGTAAAACCCTTCAACCAACTAATTGTTCAGGCTGCTACATAATATCCTGAACTATAAATCATTTCTATATACCAGTAAAATTATGTGTCCAATTATAATTATCCTATTCACTTTCTGTTGTCATTTCTATTTCCTAAGCATGTGGTAAAGTTTCTAGCTATTTTCATCAAGCTTATAAGAATATTACATTTTAAAAAGCTTTAAATAAAGGCTTTATTATCTTGGAATTTTTGTGGTGGGTCTTTCTAAGCTGATGAAACCCTTGAGTAGGTGTTGTTTTTAAACAAGTCTTATGAGCTGTACCTGATGATGAAGTAGCTTTGGGCAGTAATGGTTACTGCAAACTGAACTTGAGTATCTAATTTTCTAAGAGATGAGTTTTTTTTTATTTTTCCACAGTCCATTTTAAAGATGGTATATTAGTTAACTTGCAGTATTACTTCTTACATTTCAGCTCCTTAGACTTACAGTAACCCAGATTTCGTAATTAGGGCCCTAATATGTACTTTAAATATTTGTGCACTCATGTTCTTGCTTCATGCAGTATCCACTTCTGTCATGTTTCTTCTGCTATATGTGTATGTTATTATTGATATAAAAAATCAAGGCAAAATCCTCAGGTATCTACTAGTTGCTAGTGCCAGTAGTCTTCCAGCAGTCACAAACATGGTCAAGTGAAAATACCTGGTACCATTCTGCCAAAGCAGTTAGTATTTTGGGACATGAAGGGCAAGAATCACTAGAAAAGTGATGTAATCAAAAGCAAGGTGATTCATTTTGAACATGGAATACTGTATTTTTCATGGCATAATGATAGTGTCCATTTAGCTCTGTGCAAAGCATTGTGCCTGGACATTTTACATAAGTTACAACTAATCCTAACAAGAGACTTTCAAGGTAAACATTAACCCCTATATATAGATGATTAGACTGAAAATCAGAGAGACTCACCAGCATGGGTAACAGCTAGGATCTAAACCCAGATCAGTCTGATTCAAAACATTTCTATTCCCTCCATAATTACAAACTGAAAGATAAAAATATACAGAATAATGTAATGCAGTGGCTTATAATATAACATTGGTATCATCTTTTAAACATTTTTATGAACTAGTTTCTTTTTTATTATAAAAGTTATACATGTTCACAATTTAAAAATTCAAACAATACCAAAAGGCACAGGGTAAAAGTGAAAGTTCCCCTCCCTGCCTTTGAAGGTCCATCCCCTTCTGCCAACCCACTCACCCACTCTCTGGAGGTAACCAGTATTCTTTGAATCCTTAAGAAATTATTTTTGCATATAACAGTATATTCTGTCTCTCACACACGCATACACAAACATACACTCTCTCTCTCTTAAGTACACACAAATGGAATTATAGTAAACATGGTCTCATAACCTACTTTTTCCTTGTAACACTGTGTTTTGAATAACTTTCATATTAGTATAGAGAGAGCTACCTTTTTCGTTTTAGTAACTATAAATATCCCACTGTGTAGATATACCTGTATTTACTTAATCAGTCCCCTATTGATGGACATTTAGACTGTTTCCAAATGTTTTTGTTTCTTTTTCAAATGTTTTTGATATTAACAAACAGTACTGCAATGAGTATATCTATCTGTGTGTATGTATATAATATAATCTTTGTGCACTTACACATCTGTAGGATGAATTCTTAGATGTCACTGACTCAAAAGATATATGCATTTATAACAAGTTACACTTTAATCAAAAGAAAGAGTGCCACTTTACTCACACCCTTAGAAAAACTAGGTGTTATCAGTCTTGTTAATCTTTGGCAGACGATAGGCAAAAAGTATTATATCATTATCTTCATTTGCATATCTTTATTCTAAGCTTGAATATCTTCCTATGTTTATTGGCCATTTATATTTTTTCTTCCTATGAACTTTCTATGCTAGCTTTATTTTTTCCATTTTTCCATGAGCATTCTTTTCCTTATTAATTTGTAAGTTATCTTTGCATATTGAAGAAATTTACCCTTTATTGTGTGTTGCAATACTTTTACCAGTTTGACATTTAATCTGTGGGAATCTTGATATTTTAAGTAATTTTATTTTTATGTACTCAAATATATCAATCTTTCATTTCTATGGTGGCTGGTTTTATGTCATACTCAAAAAGGCATCACTCAGTCCAAGATTTTTTTTTAATTCACTATGTGTTTTTCTGATACTTTTATAGCTTTGGTTTTTTACTCATATGTAATTTGTACTGTGGTAAAATATACATAACATAAAATTTACCACTTTAACCATTTTTAATTGTACAATTCAGTACATTTACACTAAGTACATTTACATTGTTGTGCAACCATCATCGTTACCCATTTTCAGAACATTTTCATCATCCGAAAACAGAAACTCTATACCTGTTAAACAATAACTCCCCATTCCCCCCTCTCCCTAGCTCCTGGTAACCTCTTATTTCACTTTCCGTCCCTATGAATTTGCCTATTCTAGGTATCTCATATAAGTGAAGTAATGCAGTTTTGTCCTTTTGTGTCTGGCTTATTCACTTAGTATAATATCCTCAAGATCCATCCATGTTATTATATATATCAGAATTTCATTTCTTTTTATGACTGAATAATATTCTGTTGAATGTATGTACCACATTTTGTTTATCCATTCATCTGTTGATGGACATTTGGGTTGTTTCCATTTCTTGGCTGTTATGAATAGTTCTGCGGTGAATATTGGTATTCAAGTGCCTGTTTAAGAAGTCCCTGCTTTCAATTGTTTTAAGAATATCCCTAGCAGTGGAATTGCTGAGTCATATGGTAGTTCTATATTTAACTTTTTGAGAAACAACCAAACCATTTTCCACAGCAGCTGCATCATTTCACATTTTCACCAGCAATGCATGAGGATCCCAATTTCTCCACATCCTCGCCAACACGTTATTTTCTGTTTGTTTGTTTGTTGATAACAGCCATCCTAAAGCAGTATCTCATTGTGGTTCTGATTTGCATTTCCCTAATTACAAATGATATTGAGCATCTTTTCATGAGCTTGTTGGCTATTTGCATATCTTCTTGGAGAAATGTCGATTTAAGCCCTTTGCCCATTTTTGAATTGGGTTGTTTGGGGGGTTTTTTGCTTTTGATAATATGGCTTCACTTTTATAATTTAAAATTTTAATCCGTTTGGAATTTTATTTTGGTATAGAGAATGAGATAAGGATCCAGCTTAATGTTTTTCCAAGGGATTAGCCATAGTTCCCAAATCATTTATTGAATAATACTTACTGTTATGGTGTTATAATTGGTATTATATTTAACTATGAAGTACAAGGATATATATATATATATATATATATATATATATATATATATATACACACACACACACATATACACATATACACACATATATATATCCCACCTCTTTGAAAGCATTGTTTTCATTGATAAATATTTCAGAAGCATAGCATGATATGGAAAGGTTTTAACACATGTAAGAAATAATTTTATTATTCTCTAGATAATCAGAGTTTCCAATATTATTTTCAGAGGCAGGAATACCACACTATAGTACAAGATAGGTTAGACTGTGCTGCAGTACAAAGCAATTCCAAAGTTTCAGTGACTTAATACAGTAAAAATTTATTTCTTGCTCAAGTCAAGTCTGATGCAATCAGTTATTAGCTTTCTCCCCAGCAGTGATTCAGGAATCCAGCATGCTTCCATCCTGTTGCACCTCCAACAGGAACAAATGGCTTCTAGGGTTGTCTAGGCAGAGGAAGAAATAGATGAAGGAGACACTGACTTTTAATTTTGTTGGACCCAAACTGCCACATCATTTCCGCTCACATTCTCATTTGCCAGAACTTATTTACATGAGTCCAAGCTAACTACAAGGGAGGCCAGGACACTTTGTCTCCCATGTGACCATGAAAAGGAAATGGAGTGGCAAACACAAAGCATTGCCTTTGTCACACTCACTTCTGCATATGTGATGTTCCTAAAAATGTACAATTTTAGTAATTCCAACATTTTAAAGTGACATGTAGAGAAGCTCATTTTATAGGTAAAATCTATAATCGTTTTAAAACAATTCCTTTGTAATGTAAATAATAACATTTTAATTTAATACTAGGTTTTCTTAAGTAGAAAATGATGGTTGCTGGCATTTAATTAAGTGCTTACTATGTGTCAGCTACCATTCTAAATGCTTTTACATGCATTTAATCCTCACAACAGCCTATGATATAGGTACTAGATGAGCAGATTGAGGTGCAGAGAGGTTGTCATTTACACAAGTAGGCAGAGTTACCTAAACAGAAAGCTTACTTATACGTTATGTTGCAGGTACTACGTAAGTCATTATTTGTAGAATGATATGATGACAATTAGAATTATTAAGGTTTGGGTTTCTGCTGTTAGCATCAAATCTGAAGATCTTGAAATCTTTCCAAAGCATCTGGATTAAAGTCCATCCCACTCAAAGAAGAAGAAAATTATATAGTACCAGCAGTTGTTATTATATTCATTGTGCTTTAGTGAACTTGCACAATTTTAAATCATTCATCAGATTTTGTGACATGCCTAGCAGATGTGGCTGTCCTGTGCAGCTAATGAAGCCTAAGCTTGAGGAGCTCTCACTTGTGTAAATCCTTTCCACAGCCCTTCTAGGGTTTTTTTTGTGTGTGTGTGTGTGTTGTTGTATTTTGTTTCTCTTTCGTAAAGAGGACCCCCAAATAGTATACCTTTCAAGCCCCACAAAATCTAGATCCACCACTGGCCCTTGGTCACAATTTTGTAGATGTAGCTCTAACACAAAAGGTTAAGAGCCCATGCCTTGATGCCAGACTGTCTGGATTAGAATCACCCTGTGACTTTGCTTAAGTTACTTAACCTCTAAATGTTTTAGCTTTCTCATGTTTAAAATGAGGTCTTTGTCGTGTGTAACCACTGAAGTCTGTGATACAGTAGCTTGGTAGTGGTCAGTTAGTGTTTTGAAAGAGATTCCTTAAATACCATTTTAGCCAAGAGGAAGAAGAAAAGAAAAACATTACTTTCTCACTTTTTGCAGATTGGGTCTGTGTTGTGGCACCCCTTCAGTGCTTAGCCAAGATGTTTATGACTCTGTCTTAGCCCTCACTTCCTGCTCTACAGAGACTGATGATCAGCCAGAGGTGAACAATGAGAGTTTTCTCAGGCCTTTTCTGAACATGCATCCAGCACTGGGCATACATGTGGCCTTCTTGATTCCTTGGAATACACAGGAGCTCTTAAAAGCCCATATTCCCCCACATATCTCTTTTCCCAGCCCCTTCCTCCCCAGGCTTTTTGGTCTGTCTATTGCTTGTCCCAACTTTATACCCTGGTCTATCTGCTCTGACAAATGCTTTTGCCTTTATATGCTTTCAACAAAAGCCATTGGGAAAGCTACCCTAGTCATGGGATGCTCCAAATTGGGTGAAACACAAGCAAGCTCTTGCATCTGACTTTGAGGGAGCTGCCTGAAAGGTCAAAATACACAACCACATCTTTGAGAATAAGGTCTGCGTAGCTCCCTCTGGTGCTAGCAACCTGCACCAAGAGTACAAGCTGCCATCTTCATGGCTGCTACTGATCTGGGGAGTAGGTGGGCAATTTAAAACACCACAGCACACTCTTACCATAGTGCAGCAACTTCTTTCTTCATTAATCTTTCACCAGGTTGTTAAGTTTTTGTCTAGATTCCAGAGTTCTGGAAAAGTTGATCTGAGAGTTTTTTTGCCAGCTTATAAGTTGCTTTAGTGGAGGAACAGAGCCCTGAGATTCCATACTCTGCCATTTTCATCAATGTCACTCACCCGATCCATTCTTGATAAAGCTTCTTAAGAATATCCAAAGCTAAGTGTTAGTTAATAAAGCCACTTAAAAGGAAACATACTTTAAAAGAAGCTTATTTTTTTAAATTTTGCTCTATGTCTTGTAAATTTTGCAAATAATTGATGATTGAATTTCAAAATAGAAAAATTTATCTTTGTATTTCCTTGAAGGGTAGTAAGAAGTTGTTTACTTGGCACCTAAATGACCTTGAAAATATGTAGATTTACTTTGCTCCACTAAATAAATAAATAAACAAACAAATAAGGCTTTGGAGTACCAGCCTGTATCTTGACATTTTTGGTAGCATCTATTTGATGTATTCGTTGTTATTGGCAGAAATTACTATATTATAACTTTGATGAATGTGTGTGATGAACTGGAGGGAAGAGGGAGAAGATGAGAGACACTGTTAATTATAAGAAAAAAAAATCAGCTTATGTGATACTAAATCCAAGTAAATATTTAACTATTTTACAATACTTACCATCTGCTTTTTACTTTTAGGTGATATTATAAAAGCAGCAGCTGAATTGGATAAAGTGCATATCGTCGGTATCTTGGATATCTGTAATTTAGGTAATGGTAAAACAGAAGTCTATTTGCACAAAATTTATAGACCAGATAAAACATCTTAAAAATTGGCAGATGAAATTATTAAAGGTTATAAAGAGGGCATTGCTTTAAAGATATTCTGTCAAAAAAAAAGATATTCTGTCATTTTGTTGGTAATTTCAGTAACTGTTTCTCAGAATATTACATACACTCTAAAGTTAAGTGGTTTTATGTTCATCTTGTATTTGGAGCTAACACACTTCATTTTAAATTCATTCTTTGGAAAGGGCATTGAAACAATTTGTGTGTATCAAGAAAGTTCATCTTACTTCTTTCTATATGACTGTTATCTTGACTTGTGATAATTTGTGTTCACTGTTTTATTTGTGAAGTATACTTTTATTCTAAAGCCTCAGCATAAGGCATCCCAACTTAAGAGTAACTTTTCATGGACATTTAACATTTTATTCAGCTATAATGGGGAATTTTGAATTGCTGATTTGAGGATTAAATTCTCCTAAAATGGTCAACCTGAATTTCTCAAAACCAAGGTAGTTTCTATCATTTTCAAAAGCACACATCGATTGTTATATTCCATTTGCCTTGGTCTTTAGTTTGGTCAGCTGTACAAAGAGCATGCTAAATTAAATTGTTTTAAGATTTTCTACTCCCTAATGTAACTTCATATCCTTTGAATTTCTAAATGTTTTGACCAGTGTGTGGTCTTAAAGCCAGAGGCTACAGTATGTCTGTATTCTTGCTATGTTCATTTGTAATTTTGGTACATGTAATGTGAGTTTAAATAGTGAAAATTTATCTCAAATTAACATTTTAAGTGCTCATATTGAAAGTATAAAAGAGTAGCTAAGGGAATTGATTTTATTCTGGTTGTCTATCTTACTTCATTTTAACTGTAAATGGCCATTCCACATGTGCAAGATTCTGTGATTGACATCTACGTGGTTAGTTAGATGAGCCAAAATGACAATCACTTGAGTTAAAAAGTACTGTTTCGGGCTTTCCTTGTGGCACAGTGGTTGAGAGTCCACCTGCCGATGCAGGGTACGCGGGTTCGTGCCCTGGTCCGGGAAGATCCCACATGTCGTGGAGCGGCTGGGCCTGTGAGCCATGGCCACTGGGCCTGCGCATCCAGAGCCTGTGCTCCACAACGGGAAAGGCCACAACAGTGAGAGGCCCACATACCGCAAAAAAAAAAAAAAAAAAAAAAAAGTACTGTTTCAAGATGAATCCGATTGTAGTTAAGCTATTAACTTTTAGGCTTCCTTCTAGCCCTGTGGTTCTGTAACTTCATATGCTATACATTTTAAATGTGTTGGGCATCATGAACCTAAAGACAGATGCTACAGCTTTTTCATAAATGTGTTCAATCTTTTGTTCTTTAAAATTGTGTTTAAACATTAATTAAAATAGGGAATCCTTCTCATGTTAAAATTTTGACTGTATTATTAAAGAAGTTAAAACCTATCTCATTTTGAATGTATTTGATGTTTTTCCTTCATATTTTTGGCCTATGTTAGACCTACACATGCTTGCTAAATGAGCCAATTTGATTCTTCCATATGGGTTGAAAACTGTTGTTTATCAAACAGAATCTGGGCTTTTGTATTAAGCTATTATAAACTTTAACAGGCAATTCAGTTTTAGTGCCTCATAAAAGTTGGAGAAGGGAAAAAGTTAATACTTAAATGGCTATTGACTAAAAAACCTCAGGCCGAGATTGCAAACCTACAGACTTTAACAGGTATAATTTCTGTTCTTATATTGAATGAGAAATATGAACTCATTATTAAGATTTAGGATCCTGCACTTCCCTGGTGGCGCAGTGGTTAAGAATCTGCCTGCCAATGCAGGAGACACGGGTTCAAGCCCTGGCCCGGGAAGATCCCACATGCCACAGAGCAACTAAGCCGGTGTGCCACAACTACTGAAGCCTGGGCACCTAGAGCCCATGCTCCACAACAAAAGAAGCCACCACAAGGAGAAGCCCGTGCACCGCAATGAAGAGTAGCCCCCACTCACCGCAACTAGAGAAAGCCTGTGCACAGCAACAAAGACCCAACACAGCCAAAATTAAATAAATAAATTAATTAATTAATTAATTTAAAAGATTTAGGATCTTTAAAAACAACTTCCACAGCAATTTGTTTTATATTATAGTAATGTTTGTATCCAAATTTGGAGTTAAACATCTGTGTCCGCATTTCCAGTTTATGGCAGAATTGGATAGCTACTGTGGCAGTTTCCTAAGAAAAATAGCAAACTACATCAGAAGACCTTATCTTCAAGTGACAATATGTGTTGATTCTTCCCAAAGCAACACAAATATACTACTGTGGTGTCACTTTTATATTAATAAATCAGTTAGTAAATTATGAAATATTACATAGTCTACCACAAGACCAGAATCTTTCACTGAAGTTTCTAATTTTAGATGGTACATGAGATCTACACATTGAAATCCTTTGATAAACTATTAAAAGAAGAATCTGAGTACATGTTTATCCTGCCACTTTTCTTTGTTGGAATTATCCTGCATTAATTTTATTCATATTAAGACAAGGACTTTTAAAAATTTTGAAACCCTTATTTGGTGACACTAATAATATTTGATGTTTTTAGCTAGATACCTTCTGCCAACATGGACTATAGATTATAACCAATTCTATTATTGTGAAGTCATTTATATGGTTTATAATTGAGCTGGTTGCTATTTTACTAGTTACCTGTTCAGGTACAGTTCCTTTTTTTTTTAAACATTGCTACCCATGAGTTTTCAGGTAAACTGATGGGAGGTGAAATATGTATTAGTACAGCTTATTTCAGTATCAGTTGTTTTTAGTAAGGAAATTTTAGGGAAAAGGGTTAAAATAAATACGTAAAACTAGATTTGGGGATTGTCTGAAGATTTCAGTTATTTGAGATTATATTTGAGTCAAGACATATTACATTAGTGTCACATCTCCAAAATGGAAACATTAGATAAAAATTTATCTCTTGGTCTAGGTCACACCACCCACTAAATATTATCCCTCATTCTTACATTGTTATGTTGATACCACTTCTAGCCCTAAGTTTTTGCTTTCATTTATACTAAAGAAATAAAAAGTAGATTTTGAAAAAACAGATTTAAAGCTAGCCACAGGTCTGTCCCTAAATCCCTGTGGAACTTTAAGGAAAGCCACTTAAACTGCTTGGCCTTAGTTTTCTTATTTGTAAAATTTGCAAAATAATGGTCCCATCCAGTTGTATGATTCTTTTGGTATGTTAATATAGTTATTAGAACAGTAAAAATGTCTTTGTGTTATTATCATGTGTGTCATGAAAATGTGGTTTTCTATGAAGAACATTTTAAAGTTATGATTAGACCATTATCAATTATAGCAGCTCATTATAACAAAAAAATTGAAATATTTAAATCCCAGTTATTTTTATTGCTAATGTTCTTCCTAATTTGTTGCCTTTTCAGTGATTGATACATATATGTATTTTTTTTCAAAACAAATCTGAAATATTTTAGCTGTTTTTAATCATATGCACATTTTCACTGAAAATCAAGTAACCCTTTTTGTAAAATTTGAGTACTTCTGATGCTATTCTGAGATTACTGCATGTGACTTCTAGTCGCTTAAGATCTAGGAGTTGCCCCTAACAAGGTTTTTAATATCTGTTTTGTAGATAGGAACCTGAAACAGAAAAAGACTAAATTATTTAATGTAAAATTGTCAAGGTGGGCTTCCCTGGTGGCGCAGTGGTTGAGAGTCTGCCTGCCAATGCAGGGCACGTGGGTTCGTGCCCTGGTCCGGGAAGATCCCACATGCCACAGAGCGGCTGGGCCCGTGAGCCATGGCCGCTGAGCCTGCGCATCCAGAGCCTGTGGTCCACAACGGGAGAGGCCACAACAGTGAGAGGCCGGCGTACCGCAAAAAAAAAAAAAAAAATACTGTCAAGGCAATTAAATTTTAAGGTTGGGCTTATAACTCCAATGTCTGTTTCTTTAAACTCTAATTTGAGCACAAAGTAAAACGTTTCAATAATAATAAATTTTCAGCTACTAGATTACTGTGAGATAAACTTCTCTAAATCCTGAGGCTCATAAAATAATGAGCGCAGTTATTGCAGCATATATCCAAGGTATTTGAATGCCCACTCTATGGCAAGCACTGAGTTTGCACTAGGAACACAATACAATACAAGCAAAAACAGACATGGCCCCTACTGTCATAAAGCTTACAGTGTTGTGGAGGAGAAAGACATTCAAATAATTGCACAAATAAATAAGATAAATTTCACAAAGGAAGCTGGTGGGGGGGCATTGGGAAAGTTTTTCCTGAGGTGAAAAGGTCTTGCAGCACAAGGTGTGCTTGAGAACTTGAATGAGAACTGATATGGCTGGAATGCGGAAAGTTGGATACAAGACGAGACAGACAGACAAAGGCTCTTGCAAATTACACAGAGCCTTATAGTCCATGGTAAGGATTTTAGTATGTATCTTCAGAGCACTAGGAAGCCACTAAGTGGTTTGTGGCCAGTGATATGCCTTCATTCAATTCATGTTTTAGAGTGGTCACTGTCTCCTGGAAGGAGAATGGATTATAAGAAGCTTAGCTAGCTGTACCCTAATACCTATTCTATAGTAATAGTTCTCCCCATGTTTAGCTAAGCACATGGCTACATAAAATAAAGAATACTTTTCCTTGCTTCCTTTGTAGCTGGATATGGCCTTGTGACTATTTCTTTTATTTGGCTAGGGCTAATATTAAAATTAATTTCTTTTGAACATACACCAAGTCAGAGTCACCCAAGGCAGAATTGGAAGTTTGCTATGAATAATCAAGGGGTACCTGTATTCTATTAGAAACACAGCCCTGTACTTCCTCATCTTTATTTTTTATTTATTTATTTTAAATAAATTTATTTATTTAGTTTTGGCTGCGTTGGGTCTTCGTTGCTGCACTCGCGGGCTTTCTCTAATTGCGGCGAGCAGGGGCTACTCTTCATTGCGGTGCACGGGCTTCTTATCGCGGTGGCTTCTCTTGTTGCGGACCACGGGCTCTAGGCTCGA